ACCCCCAGGGATGCTGAGGCGGGAGCGAACCAAGCACCAGCCAGCCCAGAGGGACAGAAGGGACCCGTGCAGGGGGGCAGACTGGGCGACAGGAAGCGCATGCCGTCCTGGCTGCAGCACCTGAGCCGGGGCAGGAAGTTAGGTCCAGAATTGTGAGCTGGGACTCAAGGCCATGGAGTCCCAGGCGAAGGGACTAGGGCTGTGACCGTGAAGCCCTGTGCGGCCCATCCCACAGCCCCGGGCATCTGGAATGCGATGGCGGAGCTCCGGCTGCGCCATCCGTCCGCCCGCGGTACTTATATGAGACGCGAATGGTCTGAAGCGGACTGTGCTGTGAGCGTGAAATACACACTGGACTCCAAAGACTACAAAATGATGGAAACCAGCTCATTCATCATTTTTATACTGATTATACTGTATAGTGAAATAATATTTTGGACTTATTAAAATAAAAACTTAACTTTACCTACTTTTTACTTATTTACCGTGGCTATTAGAAAATTTGAAATTGTCTGTGAGGCTCACACTATATTCTACGGGCAGTGCTGCTGCAGACAGTGGGGCCCGCAGGTTTCTGAAAAGGGAAGGGGCAGAATAATGTGAAATCCCCCAGCAGCGGGTGCAGCGTGGAACGTGGGGCGGGGCTGGGAAGGACCACTTAGGCTACGACAATTGTCCGTGGACAAACAGTCTTAAACCTGACGGGTTCAACGATGGCTCAGGCTGGCGCAGGAGGAGGTGGGGGTGAAGAACGGGGCGCCTGAGTGACTAGGAAGGCGGCGACAGACAAAGACGGGACAGGGTGTGACTAAGCTGGGGAGAAATCCAAGTGTCCTCATCCAGTAGGCAGCTCATGAAAATGACCAGGAAGACAAGGAAATCAGCTGCGAACAGTGAGAGCCAGCTCTGTGACACCCTCCGAGGAAGGTGACACAGAGGAAGAGGAGAGCGTGACACTCTGAGAAACTCTCCTCATAAACAAGGAGCAGGACGAAAACTAGGCAAGTGGAAGGAAAAGCAGAGGAAACGGCCCAGAATCTCATGAGTGACGCTGAGTGAGTGTCCACGACAGGCCAGGTGCCCCGCTCTGGGCACCGGGTTCCCCTTCGGCGGGACACAGGTCTTTGAGGTGAGCGTTACACAGACAGGAAGTGAGGCTCCGAGAGGGGACGTGCTTCGGGCAGGCGGAACAGGCAGAGGCCTCCTTAGGCAAGCACGGACAAGCAGGTCTGGGGGAGGGATGGGGAGAAGCCAGCCCCCTGCTCGCAGCTGGAGACCAGAAGCCGAGGAGAAACGCCGACGCCAGCGGGGACACTCTGGTGGCAAGGAGCTGAGGAGTGCTGGGGCGCCGCTCCTGGAACCCGCCGCGGGGCAGGAGGACGAGCAGCCGGGGAGACGAGGCCGCTGAGACGGTCTCTGTGAGC